CCCCAAGGAGTCTACCTGAGGCTCTGTGCTCTCCAAACAAAACACAAATCACCCGCACCTGGCTTCCAGACCTGGGCTGCAGAAGTGTGGCTGTGGCATGGGGAGCAGGGGCTAGCAGAGAGAAGCATGGTTCTCTCCAAGCCCCTTCTCTCGGAGAGAGGGTCTTTCCAGAGAGAGAGAGAGAGAGAAAGAGAGAGTCCCCGGAGGACAGATGTTACCAGAAGGGGTGCAACTGGCACTGTTCAGATAGCCGTGATCAGACGTGTTGTGTGACAAAACTTTTCCCGGGGAGACGCAACACACATGTCTACTCACCCCAGATAGGGATCCCACAACAGACCAAATTTTGGCTCCCAGCAAAGTCCAACTTGGTGAAACAGGGAGTCCTGTTGGGTTACTTACAGGAGTATGGGTGAGAAGTTACTTACAGCAACAGAAATAATACAAAGCTGTGTCGGCAAGGCCCACTCAAGCATGGGTGACAGCTCACAAAACCCAGGAACCCTGCAGCACACTGCACAGCCTACAGGCAGCTTGACAGGTTCAAGAATGTCATTTCCAAGGGACCCTGGTCTAAACCACTTGCCGGCAGCTCAGCTGGTTTCTGCTTCTTCCGGGGAACTGATCAGGTCAGAGTCTTCTTGGCCACTCAGCCTCATTTCTGTCTGAGAGCTGCACCCAGCTTTTGTTGCTTACTCTGGCAGGGAGGGGCCTAGTGAATCTGGTCGGTTTCAGGAACTTCCTGAAGCTATTGTGGGTTATTTACCTTCGTGTTTAAGGAGCTTCCCTGCAGGATGGAACGTCTGAGTTGGGCAGGAAGGGAAGTCCCGGGAGGTGGACCCCAGTCCCATCTCCAAATGGCTATGGTACCACCAAGAGAGAGAAGAGGGTCTAGAGGCTCTGTCCAGGCCCAAATGGAAAGGCAGCCTGCCCCTGCTGTAACGCCCTGTCTGCAGCGGGAGCCAACACAGAGTCTGGGGTTGCACAGGTCTCCCTCTGTGTGTCCCCACTGCTGTGGCAGTGACCCAGGTGGGAGAAGGCTCTGCAGGGGTTATGAAGTTCAGATTGTCCTGACCCCAAAAGCGGTGTGCTCAGACAGGGCAGAGAGACACACAGGGACCGCTGTGTGAAGATGGAGGTGGAGAGTAGAGGGACGGGCTGCAAACCCAGGAACACCTGAACAGAGCTGAGAGGGCTCATCTCTCCCCACTGTCCTGCCTTTCCTCTTTTGTGTCCTCTCTTCTCCCTTCCTCCCTCCTTTCTGAGGCAGGGTCTCACTGCTTTGTCTCCTGAGTGTTGGGATCACAGGTCTGTGCCACCACTCAGACCTGGACAGTGCCTTTTCTTTGACTTTCACGATGTTACGCATTTGTGTGTGTAGTGTGCAAGTGCTACAGCATGCGAGGGGACGTGACAGGACCGCTTTCAGCTGTCAGTTCTCGCCTCCCACAGTGGGTTCTGGAGAGCACACAACAGGCTTGCACAGCAAGCTGAGCCACTGCAGCAGCCCATGCAAAGGCATTTTGAACTGACACAGAGAGGAGTTGTGTAGCCATAACTTTTCTCAGGTCCCGCCCAGCCCCGTGGTCCCTCAGCCGCTTTTAAAATGATCAGTCAGAGGCTTAATATTAATCACCAATTGTATGGCCTATGGGTCATATAGCAGGCTTCTTGCTAGCTAGTTCTTTTTTTTGTTTTGTTTTGTTTTTTCCAGAGCTGAGGACCGAACCCAGGGCCTTGCACTTCTACCACTGAGCTAAATCTCCAACCCCGCTAGCTAGTTCTTATAACTTAACCCATTTCTTTTAATCTATAATTTGCCGCGTAGCTATGGCATTACCAATCTGTTGGCATCTTGCTGCTCCTTCGGTGGCAGCTGGCATCTCTCTCTCTCTCTGCCTCTCCTTTCTTCTCTCCGTATCTCTGCTTGGATTTCCTACCTGCCTCTAAGCTGCCTTGCATAGGCCAATGCAGCTTTATTTATCAACCAATCAGAGCAACACATATTCACAGCGTACAGAAAGACATCCCACAGCAGAGGCTAGTGGAATGTCTAGAAACCAATGCTGCTGCGCATTTGAGATCTGCTGTGTGTGCTATGCTTGCAGAATGTTTCCAGATGTGATCTTCCGCCATGCTGTGACCCTGGGAAGGAAGAGGGTACCTGTTTACTTCAGGGGTGAAGAAACCAGGGCTCAGAGAACAGAAATATCATGGCCTAGGCCGTTTGGGTACAGACTACATGACCCCTGGAGTTCATCCTGGTACTCATCCTACCAGGCCATACTACCCGCTGCCTTCTTGGCGGGTGGCCTGCAGTCTTGTTGGGCATTTGGGGATCCGTGTCTCTAAGGACATCCTGTGCCCCTATTTCCCCAGCTGGCTTGGGCTTAAAATGTTTCTATACATTACAGTCGTCAGTCTGGCTTTCCTGCTCTGCCCTACTCCCTCCCTCCAGATCCTGTCCATCATCCCAGCAGCTTGCCCCAGTTTCCCCCTGCTGGTCCCTGCCTTAGTTCCTCCTCTCCACCCCAAGGCACCCCATATTTCCCAGACTCTACATTTCCCTGGGTTACAGAGAAAATCTAAAATAATACCTAGTCCTGAGGACCTGGATCTATATTCCAACTCTGCTACTTATGTCCTATGACTTGTGACCTAGGGCTGGTCACTTTCCTCTCAGGCTTTCTATTTTCCCAGTATGACTCTGTGAGTTGAACCCAGTACTCTCCAAACTCTCCTGTGTCTCTACACCAGCAGCCCACTCACTTCTCTTTCCCCTGCTCTAATCTTCCTGTGTGCTCATCATCCCTCTCCCTGCTGCACACCATGTCTAAAGATCTAGCTATCTACCTCCTACCAATATGTGTGTGTGCTTGGGCCCGTGGACTTGTATCATGTGCACTGGATCCCTTGGAACTGTTGTTACAGGCAGTTGTGAGCTGCCTGATGTGGATGCTGGGAACCAAACCCAGGTCCTCTGTAAGAGCAGCCAGGTATTTACTGATCCATCTCTCCAGCCCTTCACACGGTGTTTTATCTTTCAGCTAGACTCTGTACTCCCTGAGAGCAGAGATGGGTATGATACCCATGTGCAAGACTGTCATGAATTGGGACACGCTGATGGATTCATCAGCAAGGACCACATGCATTTAGCTTAGGAGTCTGCTTCCCTTTACAAGGTGCACATGCCTGCAGTGGGCAGGACTCAGGGTGGGCACTAGGCGTCTGTTAACCTTGGCTGCTGGTAGTGGGGTGCATGCCCATACTGTGGGTTCTGCAACTTTGGCAAGGAGTACAAAGAGGCCTCCTAGAGAATGCTGCATGCTGCTTTCTGCCTCCAAAGCCCATTCCTATGATATAATCAAAAGATGGTATCAGAAAACACACGGGGCTGGCAGTTCTTCTGTTACTGCCATACCTGCTGGCAGGGGGGTGGGGTGAGGGGGGAGCTACCCTTGCTCTCTCCTGCTGAAAGCCTTGGGAAGACAAAGAAGGGATCTACATCTCCACCTAGTGGATCCACCCAAGGCCGAGCACAGCGTGGATTCCATTTCCATTCCCTTGTCAAACTGTGGTTTGCAGAGGATGCTTGCCTGCCTATGTGGCTAATACACTTTCCCCTTAAGCAATTAGATCTGGGAGTGCTGGAGGATAGCTCAGTTGGTACAGTGCTTGCCTTTCAAGTATAAAAACCCGTGTTCCATCCCCACAGTCCATGTTTAAAAGGGACAAGAGGCTGGAGAGAAGCATTAAGAGCACTTGCTGCTCCTTCAGAGGAGCACCAGCCCAGCACCCACATCGGGTGGCTCACAACCACCTGTGACCTAGAAGATCCAACACCCAAAACCTTTGATTTTTGGCCTCTGTGGGCACCTGGACACATAAGGCATGAACACAGACACACAAATAAGCCAAAATTAGCAGCTCATGCTTGTAATCCTAACACTGGGAGGCAAAGACAGGTGGATCCCTGGGGCCCACTGGCCAACCAGCATACATGACCGCACATGAACACACACAGAGACACACACACACATAGTTCTGAGAAAACAAATTCAGCCACCAAACTATAAAACAAGATGCCCAATACCATGATCTGGTGTCTAAAAAAGGGGCTGAAGGCAATTTGCTCCAACACATCACAGTGACTCCATTCAGAAACAGACCTGGAAGGGGCCAGGGCTTGCTCAAGGTCAGAGTTGTCTGGAAACTAGGGCCCAGGTGTCTGGAGGCCAGGTCTCCTGTTCCCAATGCCCATAGCCGCCAGCAAGACAGGGCAGGAAGCAGAGGGTAGGTGACTAGCGGGTGGACCAAGGTGTCTGTCCACTGCCCACTGGAGCCTTTCAGATTGATTCTGGGGCTTGACTGCCTGCAGTAGGCCTGGAGGAGGAGGAAATGGCTTTGGGCTGTTCTTCCGCACCTGGAGAGCCAGCTTCCAGATCCCTGGAGCCAGATTTTTTTTGTCTTCTGTGTGCCTTCATTCTTACCTCTGTGTCCACTAGCTGGCAGAGGGCCATGCCCAGCACCTTGCAATCTGGGAGCCTGGGACCTGGGACCCGGAGCCCTCCGAGCAGAGTAGAGGGTTGCCAAGGACCCACTGTCCTAGGCGGACGGATGGCAGGGCTCATAGTCACCCAGGGGCCTCTCAGCAGGGGAGAGGACTCCATGGGGTAGGACATTATACCAGTTGCTTTCATGTCCTTCAGTGAGCTGCACCTACAAGGTGGCCTCTGGGCTCCCAGACCGCAGATCTAAGGGTAGGGGTAGTATGGAGTACCCACCAGAGGGTACAGGGTGCGAAAGAGGACCTTGTGCACCTCAGATTCCAGCTAAGAAACACCTGAAGCTGAAGGGCTTTGGAGGTGAAGAGGCCCCAGAGTTCAGGGCTCCAGGCCTGGCGCGGCCTGGGAGCTGGGAGGGGAGCCCATCTCTCGGCTCCTCCCCGGGGCCGCCCTGCCCCGCCCCGCGCCAGGACAGCCTGGGCGGAGACCCGCGGCTGGAGGGCGCGCCGCCTGGTGCTCCAGGTGCAGTTCCCATGAGCCTGGGGGCCCGCGGTGGCCCAGGAGGAGTGGCCCGTCTCCAGTCCGCCCTTGCCGTGTCTCTGCGCCCTGTCCACTGGACGCCAGTGAGCCTCAGAACCCAGGTAACCGAGGGCGGGACTCGGCCAGTGTTCCCCACGGGTCTCCGCCTCGCGTGCGTCCTGACCCTGTCCATGCACTCTTCTCTGCCGCTGAGCAGCGGAGTGCGGGTGGTTGCTTGGAGATGGATCTTGGAAAGTTTGAGCCTGGACGGCGGTGCATCAGGCGAGAGTGCTAAGGCAAACACTTGTACCCACGCACCCCGAGCCCACGTGAAAGAGGAGATGCCTCTGCCCCAGCCTCCCTGAGAATTCAGTTTTTCCTAGTGAGAGCAGCGAAGTAGACACCCTCCCCATTCTGGCTCTCCATCCCTGAAAAAAGCCTGGGATGGGAACTGACAGTTGGTAATTCTTAAGCCTTGGGGATGTTTATATCCGAACTTCCCGCCTCCTTGCCCTAGACGCACGCTATGAACCAGTCAGATAGTGTGCCTGGAAGGCAGTTTTATGCCCAAGGAGGTAGGTCTGCACCCTGATAAAGAGGGTGCCCGGCCGCAGGGAGATGTCTTTTTTTTCTTTTTCTTTTCTTTTTTTTTTTTTTTTCTTTTTCTTTCTCTGCCTCATTCTGTTTGGTCAGGCCGGGTCCTCACTGACGCCCATCCAAGCACTCTCAAGCCCCAGGCCCAAGTGTGATGAGCCTAAGTCATGAGGGGTGCTGCAGCCTGCAGGTGCAGAGCACCAGAGTCCACTAAACCCTCACGGGTGTGCACACAATGGGCTTTCTTCCTTCAGTGAGACAAGAGCTCACTGCCTGGTGGAGAAAGGAAAGCTGCACCCCGCCCCCCCAGGAGGAGGCGCTGAGGGGGTTGGATCCCAAAGCAGCCATCATGGCTGACATGGACACCCCAGATTTCACTTTTCCCCGGGGACAAAGCATGCAGGTGGTAAGTGAAGAAAGAAAGGAGACCCCCGCCCCAAAGGCTAAGCTTTTGGCTCAAGCACAGTGGTGGACCTCAACCACAGCCTCTGAGACCAGGTGCGTCTGCATTTTAGGAGATCACTACATTTGTTTATTACGGTGTGTGTGGGGGTGCATATGGAAATTAGAAGACAACTTGCAGAAATAGGTTCTCTCCTGCCACCATGTGGGACCTGAGGATCGAACTCAGGTTGTCAGGCTTGGTAGCAAGCACCTTTACCCGCTGAGCCATTTTGCTGCTCCATTTCTGCATTCTGGTTGTGACCAGCAGGGGCCTGTTTCTCGTTGGTCTCTCCTGCAGTTCGGGAGTGCTCAAGGCAAGGGCACCTCCAAACAGAACTCAAATCCCCTTAGGAAACACTGCCAAGACCCAGGCAGCCCCTTGTTAAGCTCCCCAGACAGCAGGAGGCAGGACAGGCGCTCCCTTCTGTAGCCATAGTGCTTGGCATCAGGAAGAAACTTGGCCAGAACAGCGTGAGTTAACCAGAAACAGCTGAGTTCTTTTCCAGCCGGCAGGTTTTTGCCCTTGAAGAGCAGGAAGGACATTGAAACCGAGGACCAGAAAGCTACAGACACACTCCCAGATGCCTTCACACCCTGCCCCTACTTGGGGCAACTTCTTTCTTAATCCAGTAAATAAAACCATTATCGTTAATCCCACTTCTTGTAGGGGCAAGGAAAGGCAGTGTTCTGGGTAAAGTGGACAGCCGGTGTGTTCTTCTCCTGAGCTGGAGGATGAGCGACTTCGTCCCACCTAGTGGAATTCCTCCCCACTCCTCAGAGGTCTCATTTGGAAACAGTAATTGTCATTGCCTTTTCTTCCTTCCTTCCTTCCTTCCTTCCTTCCTTCCTTCCTTCCTTCCTTCCTTCCTTTCTTTCTTTCTTTCTTTCTTTCTTTCTCTGCGTAGTTTTGGAGCCTGTCCTGGATCTCACTCTGTAGATCAGAGTGCTCTGCCTCCCGAGTGCTGGGATTAAAGTCGTGCGCCACCGCTGCCTGGCTTTTTTTTTTTTAATATTTTTAAAAGTTTATTTATTTCTATTTTATGTGCATTGGTGTTTTGGTATGGATGTTGGGTCTCCTGGAACTGGAGTTACAGACAGTTGTGAGCTGCCATGTGGGTGCTGGGAACTGAACCGGGGTCCTCTGGAAGAACAGGTAGTGTTTTTCACCACTGAACCATCTCTCCAGCCTGTCATTGCCTTTTCTTGATTCTTACTACCCTGCAGGATTGGCCAGGGATTGGGGGAAAAAATTCACTTTTCTTGCCTCAGTTTCCCCTAGTGAGAAATAGGGTTTTATGAGCAAGTGGGTGCTCTGAAGGCATCTGTAGGTTGCAGAGCAAATCCAACGGGTGGTGGGGGTGGGTGGTGGTGTATGTGTGGTAATCTGGTTTCTCTAGGTGGGCAGTAACTGTGCCTTTTAGTGTTCCCCAGAGAACAAGCCTCATCAGGAGCATGGAACATACAGTAGCTTTGTAAGAAGTATTCACTGATCAAAAATAATCTGTACAGGAAGAAAGATTTCCATAATTCATGAGACCTGGAGAGCCTTGAATCTCTCTCCCCGTTCTGTTTCTCTACGTAAGGAGAGGGGACACCCCACCATAGCGGCAAGGGCGGGGTGGGGGGGCAGGGTGTCCCAGAACCCAGGTCAGGGCCTTCAGGCTGGCTGTCCCCAGAGTCACCTACAGGGATAGCTCCATGAGCTGATGGACACTGCAAGGGGCAGCGGAAGAGTCCCAGTGAGGAGGAATCCAGCCTCCTAAGGAGGGGTGGATGCTATGATGAGCTAGGCTAAGTGGCCAGTCTGAGAAGGCTGGTGGGGAGGGGGGCTCAGAGGCTCCCCTGGGAATGCAGGGGGAGAGCCTGGGGGCAGGGGTGAGGCACACACCCTCCTACAGAAAGTGACTCTCGTGCCTGACCTTCATAGACCCACTGGGACTTTTGGCTTCTTGCCCAAGCCCTGCCTTTGACCCAAAACAGCTCAGTTCATCCTCGGCACTGGAATGCTCCTGCTGAACCTTGAAGTTGGGGCAGGGAGTGCCAGAGCCCAGCCTTGAAGAATGTGTTAGCTTGTTGGGGTAGTTGGGGAGAAGGAGTGGGCCAGTCAAGGAAGCCAGGTAAGGCTTCACCTGGAGAGATAAGGCAGGGTGGGGCTTCTCTCATACCTGAAGCTGTTGTAGACACCCCATCCTTCTGCCATCCTTGCCCCTAGACACCCTCTGTGGGTCCCCCTCTTTTGGAGAGCGTAAGTCCATGACTGAGACCCAGTTTTCTGTCCCTTTGCACGTTGATGGCGTTCCACCAGCGTGGATGGAAAAGTACGCCTGTTGCAACACTTCATGAGTCAGTGCTCACTCTGCTGTCCAGGGTCTGGCCCTCACGTGGAGACAAGGACAAGGATGACCCCGGGGATTGTTAGGAAATTGTGTAGTCTGGCAGAGGGGAGCCATCCCATGTGAAAATACAATCATTTCTTGTACTTGGTGACAAGGATGCTGTCCCCCAAAGTGGTGACCCAATTTTATTCCCATCTCTGACTTGCCTGCTAAGCTGGATTTTAGCATGTAGTAATACTCTGCTGCCTTCTGACCTTGACCAGGCCAGGATCACCCACAGCAGGCTCTGGATTGTGCAGAAGGAGAGTTTGCCTGAGCCTCGAGCAGGGCATTTTGTCCCTTAAGGTCATACCCCTTTGGTTAATTAGTAGCTTTGTAGCCAAGGTGGCCCGTGCTATCTGGGGGATTCATTGGGAGCCTGTCAGAGACACAGAACCCAACCACACAGCCTCTAGATCCCAGAGCCCAGAATCCAGCTGCTCCGGTAGCCTGCCGCTGGCCTTGGCTACATTCCCAGCAGCTGAATGTGGCTGGCAGACAGCCTCCTCAGGTTCTGGTTCTAACATTGTCCAGGTGGCAGTGTGACATGGGACCTATCTCTTTCTGAGCCTCAGTTTCCTTCTCTGTCAGAGTAGCTTGGATTCTATAAAGGTAACTCACCTTTGGCACCGTTGCCACTTGGAGGCAGAGAGGAGGGAGCTGTCTGTGTCATCGTGGGCACTTTCCTGTACCCTTCGCTCTACACAATAGTGCTGTCACATCACATCAACTCTGAGTCACATATATAGATATATGTGTATATAGAGACCAGTACCCGTAGAGACCAGAAGAGGGAATCAGATCCCCCTGAAAGTGGAGTTAAAGGTGGTATGAGCTACCATGTAGATGCTAAAAACCCAATCTAGGTACTCCGGAAGGAAGAACAGGCAGCTCTCTACTGGGATGTATATCTCCATCTCCCTTGGCTGGCTTCAAACTCAGAGATTGGCCTGCCTGTGCTGTGATTAAAGATGTGTGGCACTGTACTGAGCTTCGGAGTTCTTTTTGACATCTGAGAACGCCTCTGGACATCACCAGAGGTGCCCTGGGGCAGCATCACCTCTGGTTGAGAAAGGCTGCATGAGATGGTCTCTGAAGACCTGCCCTCCCCCAGGATTTCTCTTGGTACAAAAGGGCTTCTAGCTAGTTTTGTGAGTATGCCGTGTGCATGGATGAGTAGTAAGTGGGACAGGTCAGAGGGAAGGAGGCAAGGCTGTTGGACCTCATGCTGCGAGCCAAGGCCAAGCTCTCTGTGCCTCTGGACCTTGAGTTACATAAGAAGGAGGGGGTAGGAGCCATGTGTGTGGTCTGGGTTCCACACTGAGGTCAAGGACCTTCCAGCGCAGGGTAGCAAATGATGAATCCTGTGTCCCTATTCCACATTGCCCTCTCTCCTTGCCCTGGGAAGGGATGCAGGAAGTGAATCAGCTCAGCAACCGCAGGAGAGCGGGCTGGGTGCCCTTTGAGATGCATGCTCACGCCTCATCCAACCCTCCCTGGCTGTGGTTTGATTATTCCTTCCATGTTAGCTGTTTATTAACTCTGTCCACGGAATCCCCTTCTGACCTTGTTGCTTAATGGAAGGACAGAGCATTTATTTTGCGGGGTTAGGCTTGGGTGGTATGGTTGCTGACAAATCTCAGAAGTAAATCACAATTGCTTTGGGCTATTCATTCTTACAGTCTTCAAGAAGAAACTCAGCTCTGGGC